AAAAAAAAAAAAAGAACCCAGGCCCCAAACTGGCTTTTTTTGTGGCAAAGTTTGCACCGAAGGGGGGGTTTATGCTGCTCTGCAGAAATGAGAAGGACAAGAAGCGCTTCAAAGCCACGTTTTACTTGTTTACCCCAAAGCGAGTCGTGGGGTTTACGCTACGGTGGCAGTTTAGAGGCAGAAGGGCCCCCTTCTTCATTCAGCCATCGCTTAGCCTTTGCTTCCCTCTTCCCCCCCCAAAAAAAAAGAAACACACAAATATAAATACAAGGTAGAAAGTTCTTCAAGAGCGAGCGGCGCAGGACCCGCACACCTAGTCCAGGTCGTTGGCCGTGTCTTCATCTGTGAGACTCTGTCCGTTCATGGCCGGTAAATCGTACTGGCCTTGGGATAAATCCTCAAAATCCTGACTTGTGGTGGGGGAGATGATGTCAGGGCTGGTGTCGCAGGACTCCGTGCTCTGCTCAGAGGTAGCGATGGTCGTCGTCGTGCTTTTCGGGACGGGGTCGAAGTCGTCGTCATCTTCTAGGATGGGAGATTCGTGGATGTCTGGAAGGGAAGAGGCAAACGTTAAGTTTTGCTTCTGTGGCCACGTGAGATGGTGCAACGCCAGGTATGACAGATGCCCCAGCAGAATGACTTGCTAATTTCAAATTAAAAATTTTGTCTGCTTGCAGCAGTAATCAATAAAAAAAAAGGATGCTGCATAAATTAGGAGCCATTTGCAAATTTTTGCCACAGCAGTTAATATAATCAAGAAGCTTTTCCAGGCTGGTGTGTGCCTGGACGTCTCATCAGCCGCTCCCAACTCCCGAGAGTCACCTCCCGCGTTCTTAGGAAAAGGGACTCTTCGCACGGGAAGAAAACCGATGGAAAACCCACGTGTCAGAAGGAACCACTCACTGCTGAAAGCCTCTGGGTACTGCTTGGCCAGCTTCCCTTTCAGCGTCCTAGGGGAGAAAAGAGTGAGCTGAGTCTACGGGGACGCTGATGGATCGGGAGCCGAGCTGCCTGGCCGAATCCCACGGGGTTCCTCGGGACGAGGAGCTCCCTCCCCAGCCCCCCAAGCACTCCTGTCACCCCCTCTCCGGACACCCCAAGTTTCTCCA